GACGAGAGGTAAGCTTATGGTCACTGATGCGAATGCCCCTCCACGGCACAATCCGCATTGACTCATCTACTCGCTGACTATCTATCTACTGTGATGCTCAGCGCAGTGCCGAAACCCTGCTGATATTATTGCGGTGTCACATTATAACGAAGTAGGGACTTTTTGAGTTAAATTGATATCGATGGTATCTTCCATCCCACGTAACATATTCGCTTTGTCCCGGGCGAGTCTCGCCGTTCTATTCACAACATCGGTGTGTGCAGTCTGACCTTCTTAAGTGCACGTTTCTGCAGTTATGTTGAAATCTGGCTTCTGTATGAAAGTGTCTTATTTCTTTCATTTGATCAATCTGCCATTTGCGATAGCCTTTTCCCGTAGATCAGAAAAATGCAAGTTTTATTTCCAGTGATCCATTTTATTTTTTCGTCCTTTCACAGAATCCTAGTGAAATTGTTCATTAGTCTTCTGTCACTTCATCGGATTCACATAGCGCACACACATCGACTAATTCGTTCTTGCGGCCTACGGGACCGCGGTTCCACAGTATTTCAACACACGCAATGCATTGGTGCAAAGGAGCACCATTTTCTTTGGTCGAACAAAAGCATGTTCGAACACCGAGAGGGTTTGCTAGCAAACTCATAGTTTTCGAGAAGAGTAACAAAGCCCTGTCTCTCTTGGATTCGCCATTCACTGGATCGTTCATTAATAATATGCAAGTTCGTCCCATCTGCACATGACAAAAGTAAAACAGTAGTGAATAATATGTTCATCGGCCTGTCATCCGCATTTAATGTCATCACCAGTAGTGCTATTCTTGACTGTTAAGTAGTCGCGTGACAAAAGTCACATAACCACGCGCGTTAGGACATACTAACCGATTGCTTTACCCTTAAGGGTATGAATGTTTCTTTCATGGAAAGATCTCACCAATGTAGAGGATCACTACGATACACGGATTTTTGAAATAGAACAAGAACAGCGAGTTTTATTAACTTCGATTATTCAGGTGCAAGTTAGGAACAAAATAAAATTCAATCAATTTACATTTGACATATTTCCCGCCCAATGTCAACAGGTATTTTGACAGTGAATTTCAAAAATAAACTTTTTATTTAATAATCACCATAACACAGAGGAAAAAATAAACGCTGATTTATGAAAACTGTTTTCAAGACACCTACACTCGCGTCAGCACAAACCTTGATATATTGATAAACTACGTGTACTTTCGACGACTTGAGCCACACTGAAAGGGAGAGACAATTAAATTATGAGATTAGGCTGCATCCTCGTTCCTCCACTAATTCTTTGTATATTTAGTCTAGGCAATGAAAATACCACCCGGGTCATATAGACCCGACGCGACTACTTGAAGGCTAAGAATTGTAAGACACCGGAGCAGCTCAAACATTACTGTAGTAAGCAGCAAATGTGTCTTAATTGGGACAGCTTTTCGACGGCATTAAGCCGACTTGGTGCTTTTCAAGGCTTTGTATTGTCCCCACTTCCGTTAGGCTGTTATGTGAGCATCGTGAGGCCGAAAAGATTTTCACGTCAAATAGGCAGATCACTTGGTTGTCATTGCGCCATCCACTGCAAGTCTGACTCTTCCAATTGGCGCCAAGCCATTGATGGAGTGAAGAGCTGGATAAGGAACCGTCGTCTGATCATTAATCGCAAAAGAAATGCTCAACTTTCCTGGAGCTACTGATCGCTGTGAATGGCAGAAAAACAGCGAAGCAGCTTGTTGTACTGAACGTTCAAGAACAACAGAAAATTAGCCGATTCCGTGCATCAGCACCATATTGTGCATAGAGGTTATTCTGAGTAGCAACCTCCTTTGGAGCAACAATGTTGATACATTATTCTCCAAAGTATTGGAAGATACCATTTTAGCCGCGTGAATTACTGAGCTTGCAGATCTCTCTTTTGAGTGGTGTGAATCGAATCTTGACTTTGTTTAATCACTTCAGATCATCGCTTAAGTCAACTTAATCATCATTCTGACGCTCAAGGATAATGCCATCTTGAAGCATGCCATTCTGCTGATCTGTTGTATCTGTAAAACTGTTCGAGATGGACTGTTTGGCCGCAGTGTGGGATAACTGTCCGAGCCGCAGTATGGCTGGTACAAATGCTGTCTATGATGATAGACACCCACTTAGTGAGAAGTTTCTGAATGGGCCATCGACGCATCAGGAAATCAGGAGTACCTTCAAGCGGTTCTGGCCAGAAACAAAACTATATTACTACTTTCAGGAGTATTAGAGGTCCAAAGAACAACTACAACCCGCTTTAAATATATTTAGCATTAAGCTTTAGCAATTGATCCACTTTATATGCCATATTTACTGTTCTCCGTGCCGGTTTTCTCGGTCGTGTGTCGTTTTGTGCATAATGACTACGCTCGCATTTCTGATTTCTATGCGCTGGACGAAGTAGGGAAGATGCTGGTAATAATTCACGTAGTCTGGCACACGGAGTGAATTGCCTATCAACTATTAGCGAGGAACAAAACACTTAGTGAGTGAACTTGCCTCCGTGGCCTGTCTGAGGATCAGTGAGATGCGAATGAAGGAACTGCCTTAGCACGGACAAATAAACAGTTGATTAATTGATTGGCGCATTAATTAATGAGTGCTGACGTCATTAAAACGCTGAACAAATACCGCTGTACCTGCCTTCCTACTTCAATCCGTCGCTTTGCGTTTTTCTAACAACTTTATATGAAGATTCAGCTCCAAGAATTAAACTGTGATGCTATTTACCGGCCTAGAGCCTGTAATTTGCTCGTTCGATCGTTTTTACTCCGCAATGACTGAATATGTGTATGATTGGTTGATTGGAATGGTGTAAATCCTTTATGGACAGTGTCTTTGTACTGACACACTTGTCCGGAATGGAGTTCCTGTGTTGATCTGCAAAGTCAGTCACTGAAGGAGTACTGAAGGAGTCAAATTTAGTGACCAGCACCAGCCCTCGCTGTTTTTTTGGTTTTGTTAGGAATTTGTTTCAAACGGTTATATCTACCCTGCCGTTTTTGCTGCACTGACTGCCAACGTGACATGACGTCAAGCATGATGGCAAGCTGCTAGTTCCCCTTATACTGGGCATAATCATTTCTAGAATTGAAACTACTCAACAGAATGGATGCTACAGAGCGCAGAAGAAGGCAAACGTTCTTAGGTCCAGTTTTTGTGATGCAGCGCTGCACTGCCTGATTTTGGATGGAGGAATTTAGTGAATAAGGGCAACTATTAAATACGTTGCTGTATCGATCGAGGTATCATCAGTGTTTCTAAAAATCGCGTTCGGATTGCGAGTATGGTTCTTTTGAAATCCCATAGATGCACAGTACCCTACCGTACTGTAAACGCTGGAGATGGCTGTTGTTTGCAATGAACCTATGAACATACTTCCGCCAACTGGTTTTGATTAACTTCAGCAAATCTATCTAGGCCTCTTTTCTTCGCATCACTAAGGAAAACGATATATCAAGTCCTTTTGGCAAGACATTGTTGTAGTGAAAATGAGGGTCAGTTTTAGAAAATGAAACCAAAATACTGGTGACGGCAATGACTTTACAGTGTCGTCAAATCAATGCTCAAAGTATATCACAGGCCCAGTTGTCTAATGGCGTGGTAAGCGTCCAGAGGCCGTAGACGTGTTGGAGGTCAATATCAAACATGGAAATATCTCTTTGAGGCAAACCTGTTTTTCAATAAGAATAAAACCTTATTACAGCAGTTAACTTTGCCTGATGTCAGTCTGAAGCACGATTTTTCAACGGTCGAAAACCATAAACCTGGTCTACTCCGCGGTTTACGCTCTATTTGGAGGAAAAGACGATGAGAAAAGATTGATAATATGAGCCATCGTCGGTTGGCTTGAAATGAACTGTTGTTCGCTGTATTTGTGAATTCATATGAACGGTATATTGCCATTAACAATATAAAAAAGAGGCAAAATTACAAGAAAAAAATTAGAGAATGGCGGTGTCGCGTTGTAAGTAGAGTAGGGTTGCGACAGGGCGGTGATCAGGTGTCATTCTCTAAGTGCATTTTTGGCTACAGCATTAGTGCTGACACAACATGAAGAAAAATGCGATTTAGCACGTGATATTCCTGTGATTATGAACTGGTAGATGTGAAGCGCTGGCCCTACGCTTCCTTATAAGTGATATTGAAAAGAAAATCTGAGGTTCACGTTCACCCAGAAAACTGTTTTAATTCGAATTACTGTTTCGAGAAATGAATGATGCCACCTA